GTTGAATTAGAATTAAGTATAAATAAAGTTAATATTAATTATATTTTAACTAAAGAATTATTAAATCAATTACATTTTTCACTTTAAAACTATTTATAATATCTTGATTACAAGATTAGAGGTGTGTAATAGTGTTTGGAGAAGGGATTAAATAGTGATGTTAGTCAAGCAGGTGGTTTTATAAAAAGTATGTATTAAAGCATTGTCTACAAGAAGGATAATTTTTTGATTTTGTCTTCTTATTTTTGTATCAAGTTTTTTATGTAATTGTTTTAGATTAAATTCAGTATCCAACTTTTTTAGTTCTAATAGTATTTAACCAGAAGCATTCTTTTATAAATATTCTTAATAATCCTAGGATTTTTATACTTGTGTATAAATAAAAGTGTCAGCTTTTTACTTCTCGTTGTATTACATGTGAGTAGATTATTATACAATCCTTTGATTTTTCTTTCCTGATATTTATTCATTAGATATCATTCAACATAGTTTCATCTTTCAAAATAATCCTATTTCATTACAATTGAATATATTTCAGGATTATATTCCTTTAATATTTGCTGAAGATTCTTTCTCATTGTTTCAAGATCTTCAAATGGTACACTTGCAGCTTTCACATATATATGATACTATTTAAAGTTATGTTATTTTTAAAGTTATTCACACAACCACTAGACTTTTTAACCTTATCCTTCTTTAATAAACAAAGCAAAACTCAAAGCTTTTATTGAAAGAATATCGTCAGTAATAATGAGGCTAGCTTTGAGTGCGTTATCTATTCATATTATTAACGCTTTTTTAATAAAAGGAAATAGAGTTTTCTTATTATATTTCAAATTGGTTTAATATGAATTAGTATCTACAGAAAGCTAACGGTCTTTCTCCTTTAAAATGTCACTTACTATATTTTCACTAATGTCATATTCATTAGCTAAGTCTTTTTGTTTTAAAAAAAGTGATGATATTTTTTTTAAACAAAGTTCTTTTTTTATGCAACTGTAAGGGACTTTCATTTTTTTTTAAAAATTCATCTTGTTTATTAGTAGATTGATTAAGTTGTTTTTTTTTAAGTTTACTTTTGGCATTATTAGCATTATGCAAAAAAAAATGCGTAATAAATAAAATATATAAAAAAAAATATGAAATACAAGATACAACACGTAATATAAATATTTATTTATTATTTAATTTTATTTAAAAATTAAGTATAGAGTTTCCCTCTTCACCACCACATAATTTTAAAATTCCTTCTTACTTTATCTACGCTTTTAGATTTGGTACGAACTGGTTGAATTTTTAGATCGATAGCAACCACGCCTCCTGTACTGGATAGTTGAGTCTATTCTAAATTTATTTGGATAGGTTAGTCTAGAACGGTGCAAGGTTGATTTTGATTTGGCTTTTTTTGTTAAATAGAAATTTTTGTACTCTCTATCCTGTAATTTGTAATTTTGTAAAATCTTACTTTACTTATAAATAAAGTTTGTGCAAAGCTACCGCACGTAAAAAAAAAAAAAAAAAAAATTAAGTATAGAGAATTATAAAATTATATATATATAAATCTAGTAAAATTCATTTTAAGCAAAACTTTATTGTATCAAAAAAAAAATTTGTTATAGAAAAAATTTGTTATAAAAAGAGTTATTTTATATATAAATTTTTTTGATTTTAATTCGTTAAACGTAGTATGAATTTTTAATTACTAAATTCAATATAGTAAGGGTTTTTTATATTTAAAAATCTGTCTAATACTGAAAATCTGTTGTATTGTAAAATTTGTTATATCAAAATTTATTGTAAAAAGTGTTAACTGTAGTTACTTTTTATATAATTACTTTTTTTTATAAGTATATTTTGTTAGAAGAAAATTTATAATAAACTTTATAATCACATATTTAATTTTTTTAATTTTAAGAGGTGTCACTATATAAAAAGTTAATTATATTTAATAATATATACTACTTTATTAATTAAATTTATAAAATAATTTATTATTATTACGTAAGTAAATAGTTTATTAAATTTTTAGTTATCAGAAAAATTTATGAAATTTCATATTTTATAAATTTAATTTATAAAAAATTAATTTTTTTAAAAGTTAATAATATAATTTTTTAAATAAAATTTAAAAATATTATATTTATGATTTATTAAATATTTCTTATTATTTTATAATTAATAAACTTGCTTATAATTATAAAGATAAATTGATTATAAAATAAAATGTGTTTTAAAACTGATTTTATTAATGATTTAAATTTTTAATATAATTATTTATTAATAAAACTTAATAATATTATTATATTAGTTTTTAATTAAATAATACATTTTTTTATGATTAAAAATATTTGAAAAAAATTATTTTATATTAATTTTAATAAAAAAAATTATATATGTATTTTTTTTTTTTAAATATAAAATATATCAAATTTTTAAATTAATGAATAATTTATATAATTTGAAATATGTAATATGTAATATTGATTTTAACTTATATAATTTATTACTTTTATATAATATAAATTATATTATTAAAATATAATAAATATTTTTATTTAATTTTAATTAAATATTAATAATTTAATTAAGTTAATATTAGATAATTATATTTAATATATAAAATAATTATTTAAATAATTATTTATTATATATTATTTATAAAAATATTAAATGATACTAAATAATTTTGAATAATTAAAAATTTATAGTTATATAAAAATCTAATTGCTTATTTATAATAAGTAAGTTTTATTAAAAAATTATAATAAATTTTATAAATAATTTTTAAACAAAATAAATTTAGAGATTGATAATTTTTATAAAACTGTAATGTTGAAATCCAATCTTCTTAAATCTAAAAATAATAATTCTGCATTTCTAAAAGTTTATTATTTATTTTAATTGATATATTATCATTAAAAAGTAAAATATAATGCAATAAAATAAAAATTTTTTTAAAACTAATAAATTTATTGAAACTTTTAGAATTAAAATCTAGAATTAAAAAATACTTATTTTGATATTAATTTAATATTTTTGATTGTTAATCATGTAAAAGATAATAAACAATTAATAAAATAATGGTTTTTATAATCAAACTTATATATTTAAAAATAAAATATAACTAATTTACATCTGGAAAGCAAGTTAGCAAAAAATTCTTAAAAATAAATTAATTTGTAAAAAAAATTTATTAATTTATATAAATTTATCAATTAATAAATTTATATAATACTTTTCTTTAATATTTAAATTTTAAGAAAATAAAAATTATTGAATTTGAGTGTATATAATAAACTAATCAAATTAGTTACTTTATATAAAACAAAAAATTTATTAATATGCTTATAATTATGATATAAAAAAATATAATAATGAGAAATAATAAGTTTTTAATAAAAAATTTTACACTTTTTATAAAAAAGAAAGAGAAACAAATAAATATGGAGGTATTTGATTGGTAAAGTAACCTATATATTTAACACGTCATTTATAATTAATAATTTAATTTAATGATGAATCATAATATAATTTTGTTTTACACATTTTTACAAATAAAATTTCAAATTATAGATTACCAAAAAAAAAAAAAATACATTCTATAACATTTAAAATTCTTATTAAAATTCAAACTCTTCACGGAATTGATCTACATCAGCTCCAGAAAGTATTTTTTCTGCCAAATCTTGTCGTTCCTAAAAAATATTAAACGATAAATCAGCAAGTCGAGTTAACAAGAATAATAACAAAATTTTGATCATTGTTATTTTAAATAAATACCATCATCAAAAATGTCCTATGGAGCGTTTCACGAAGACTATTACTAGTATTAACTCCTCCATCACTATTCAAACCAGTTTGATGCATACTCAATGCACCAAGTAAATGTTCAGCTGCTTCACTATAACACCCTATATTTAAACAACTAACGCCTAAATTATATCTTGCACGTACAAACGTTGGTTTGAAATCTAAGGCTTTATGATAAGCCTCAATCGCATCTTCAGGACGTCCTGAATTCGCCAAAGTGGCTCCTAAACGATTCCATAAAAGATAATCCTACAAATCATATCATTCGGTTTAATTCTTAAATTTAACAAAAAACTCAAAAAGCTGTAAATTACTTACTTCCTTCCTTGTATTTAAAGCTGCAACAAAACAATCCACTGCCTTTTCATAATCACAGCTGCCATAAAATAAGACTCCTAATCCAACTTGTACATCTGAATCCATCTCCTGACCTTCTGGAGCGCTACGAGCTGCTTGCAAAAAAAGGTCAGTTACACGTGAATGTATATTCATTCCATGCATTGGTGCATTAGATACCGCAATATCGGGATATTTTGCGGTTATCCAACGTTCAAGAGTAAGATATGCTTGATTATCATAACCTTCATTTGTGTAGCTTACTGCGAGACTCTTTAAAAAAGGAGAGAAAACGTTGTATGTAGCAAATTATCAATTAATAACCAAATAATACTGAAATTACAACTTACCATTAAGGCGGTTAGATTATTGCCATCAACCTCCACAGCTTTCTGTAATGCCCTAATAGCTGCTTCCTCTTTTTCGTTTTGAGCCTGTGTATTACCCAGCCACATCCATGCATCTGATTTGTTTCCATCTTTTTGAACTGCAGCTTCGAATGCCAAAGCAGCTTCAGATAACGAACCACCTTCTTCCGTTAATCTTAATCCTTCTTGAAAAGGATTTTCGTGCTCTATATAAGGATTATTATGTTCAAATGTGTATTCACCAAGGTTTGCAAACCGATTCATTAAATTGCTTTCCCAATTTTTAGGGTCTATATATTCATCATCGTCTAATTGTCCTCGAATATTTGATTTCGACCAAACATTTTCGAATTCCTTAATTAATTCGTCATCTATATTTTCACCTTCTGCCTCACGTTGTGCAGCAGCGAATTGTTCTTCCCAAGAAAGATGATCTAATTCTACTATTTTTTCCTTGCCTTTTCCTTTATCTTGTTTTAATACATATTCACTTGCCCAATCAAAATTCTTTTGAAATACCTCCTCAAATTCTGGTGGAATTTCAGTAACTTGATTAACTGAAAAGTCTTGCCCGTGTAGAAATTCATGATTCCACTTCGCTAAGAAAGTAATGTACGATGATAAATTAATGAATATTCAAGCCATATTGAATAACGTCCTTCAGCAAAAATTATTAATACTGTACTATGAACATTCATCCTTTTAAATGCTTCTTCCATCTCGGTTTCTTCAGCAGGCCCAAGTTTCCATAATTGTGAATGATCCGATCGATTATTGAATTCCGTTGCCCATTCTAAGAATTTGCCAAAAATTAGTTCCGAAGTGAATTGAATAACACTAAGAAGAAATTTTTTTGTCAAAGTACCTTGTTCTGATGTTACAAAACCGGGAATACTTGTTGGTATATGACCCTGTAAACGTAAATGTTCGTGTTCTTGCTGATTAAAAAAATCTTCGGTGAACTTTTTTTTTTTAAAAAAAAAGAATTTCGCGAAATACGAGAATATTTTAATTTCAATTATTCAACTATGTTTCTAATAAATCAACAAAAAAATTTTATGACGTACCTTATTTTCTTGAGAACTAACATCAGGTCTAGCTGTGCGAAACTATATTTAACAATAAACAAATCAAATCAAATAAGCAACATACATAATATGACGAAGAAAATTGTCTAAAACTTACCGAACTGGGACCAACTCTTTCTGTGCTTGGTACGAATGTGTCCTAATTCGCAATTTAAGTTAGATTCTAATTAACGAATTCGTAAAAAAAATATATTAAATGAAATAAAATCTCTCGAACCTTTTGCAACGAACGTTCATCGGTGATTTGTTTCATTATTTGAGAGAGTGGGTTAGAACCTACGGAGCATTCAGCTCCAGTGGCCATGCTTCGAAATGACATCTTAAGATACTTGTCGAATTTAAAACTCGAAATAAACGTAAAAAAAAAAAAAATAAATAAATCGAAAGTAGATGAATAAAAATTTGGGATCAATTTTTAGAATTATATAATCTCATGCATGAAATTCCGCAGTTTATAAAATCACGGGGAAATATAAACAAATAGCTCGTTAAATTGTGGACGTTCTTATGCTAAAAACCTCTCGAAATTAGGAAAGGTCACTATTCATGGATTATCAACGTCAATTACTTGAGGAGTTGATGGCTCCTTTTGAGACATCTAATAAACATAACTTCTGGGATGATGCTGTCTGCAAGCACTTTTTAGTCAAATTTTGTCCCAATTCTCTATTCACCAACACAAAGTCTGACCTTGGTATGGTATTCTTTCTTTTTGAGAACAGAGTTTCATTTTGAGATTCAACTTTTATCTGTTTTACTTTATAACTAAATATAGGACCCTGTACAAAACTTCACGACGAAAAGTTAAGAAAACAGTACGTGTCTATATTTTGTAAAGTTCATTTCGACCATTTATAGGGTTTCTCATCATTTCGGTACTTCCTTAGGTATCAAGAAGCATTAGATCGTGAAAAATATGATTATGAAATTAAATTTTACGATTATTTGCAATCATTGTGTAATGACTTGGACAAAAAAATTCGGAAAGGAAATGATCGATTAAACGTTCGTCCTGACGATACAGTACGTTCTAATTATATGTTTTCATCCTTTCACCATTTGATTTATTTTCTTATTGAAATGATTATACCATATGAAATTAGCTCTTGAATCCAAACAAAGATGAAAAAGAAGAAAAAATGATCATATTAGACGAAAAGATCAAAGATTTATTGGTGAAGGTAATAACATAATTATTCAAAGGGAACGATTCGAGCATTATAAATCACATTGATACTAAACTATTGATTTTATCAAGATTGAGGAAGCAGGGGAAGAAGGACGCGTACAAGAAGCTCAGATTTTAACCAAAGACGTAGAATCACTTCAAAAAGATTTGGATTTTTTAAAAAACGTGAGTATAATGAGTTGATATCAGCATATTCTACAGGACAAAACGAGGAATGAGAAATCTTACATGGAACAAAGAGACTTGATTATCTTGAGGTAACTCTATCGTATAGCATGTGGTTTATGAAATGACATCCTTATGAGAATGCCAAAAAAGCTAACTTTTCCACATCAGCTTTTTTCACCTTCACTGGAGTAATACGCAAACAATATTTTACTTTTTTTGATCTGGAAGCTATTTCCGATTAGCTTCTACTATGATTTCACAGTGAAAGTTATATCCAGGAGAGACATATAAAATCGGTATTTTTGTTTTCCCCCTATTCACTAACCTTTTTCATTTCAAATCAATTCCATGAAAACCAATTCTCCGGTCCCTCCTTTCTGATTTAAATAAAATAGAGCGATGATTCAAATCCATTATTTAAACAAGAGAGAAGGATGTTAGTTTGTGAAGTATGTGGAGCTTTTTTGGTTACGAATGACACATCCAATCGTATGGATGCTCATTTGCAAGGAAAGCAGCATACAGGTTATAAGCAGATTCGTGAAACTCTGCATGAATGGAAGGTAAGGATTCAATAATATTCTTTGGTTTTGGATAATTTTGTTCTTTGTCAATCTCATTGTAAGTCTGAATTCAGCAATTGCGAGCGATTACTTTCCGGGACGTACAACCACATCGAGGAGATTATCGTCGAGATCCACATGCTAGACACGAACCATATCCTCGTAATCATCGTAGGGAAAAACATAAAGATCGACGGGATGAAAAAGATTACCAAGAACGGGAACATGAAGATTATGGACGTAGAAGAAATAGCAAAGAATATCGTCGGGACAGAATTGATAAAGGGCGTAGATACTACGATGAATAAACTTTACAGGTATTTAAAAGATTTATCAACAAGAAGCAATTCATTATACATTAACCAATTATCCACAGAACCACATTTGGACTGAAGCATGAAGGTTGTTAACAACATTTTTACGATAGAGTATAATCATTTCTTTATTCCAAAGCATAATAATAAATTTTGAAAATATTATTATTTATATTCGTATTTATAATAAATAGCATTTTGTTGTTATAAATCTTTTATAAATAAAAATTCATTGAAATTTTGTTAAGAATATTTCTTAATACTTTTTGATAAACTCTATAATGATCCTTTTCTTCGCAATTCTCGACGTTCTTCCAGCTATGAAGGAAAATTATATAAATAACGTATATTAATAATAAATAAATATATTATATAAAAAGAGATAAAAATAATTACCCATTTTTTTTTACATTCACGATACAAGACGAATAAATCTTTACATTTTCCTTTATCGTAATTGTATTTATCCAAACATTTCATTGAATTTATACTTTCTTCTTTACAAGGTTCTAAAAATTTCGAAGTTCCCTTTTCTTTAAACTTTTGGTGAATGTCGGAATTTGGTTTGTCACTCATCTTTTAAGATGTGATACGAAAAAAAAAATTTACGTAGAATAACTCAATTGAAGATCATACTATCACGTGACTTAACATTTATTTCAGATGATCAAATGATCTAATAAATTTTTTTAATTTGCTGATTTGCTGAATACACATTAAATAATCATTAAAGAAGGTCCTGGGAGATTTAGGCGCCTATGAATTCTACTTAAAATACCCATATAATTTGGTTCATTGTCCGGATTAACAATCGAATGTCGAATCAGAAAATCGATCACAACTATGAGTTTTTTTAAAAAAAAAAAGAGTTGACGTAGACGTAAATTAAAGATAGCAGAATAAAATAAAATAAAATACCTAACGCGCAATTGGGTTTGAATTCACCCGCTTTAATATGTTTAATAAGCTGAAAACCAAACCAAAGTTCATGATTAGATATTAAAGATGTATTTATTGTTTTTAAAAAAAAAAATTAAAAGAAAAAAAGAAAATAAAAGATTACCTCATCCATATCCCATAAATAAAAGCATTCGACTTCGCCATCTAAGGGCTTTGGTTCCACATCAAGAGGGAGTTCAAGATCATAAACATACCTATCCCAAACATAAATGAAAAAAAAGAATATCCACAAAATAATTTATAATTATCCTTATTTATTATTAAAAAACTTACTGAACTTCAGGTTGTAATCCATTTTGTGTTTCTATAAAATAAGAAATCGCACCCGTAGGAAGAGCTTTCTCTGCGACCTCTGCAGGTAAACTCGCTTCTTCCATTGATTCTTTAATGGCTGATTCTGTCACACTTAACGTATATGGAATTCCACCTGCTACGGTATTATCTAACCAACCGGGCCAAGTGGGTTTCGTCTTTGCGCGTTTTGCTATCCACATTTTTAGTTCACCTTGTTCAGTCCTAATGAATCCATTCAAATGAACTCCAAAGGTCAACACCCCAAATAACGGAGTCGCACAACGTTCCATGACAAATGCAACACCTGATGGATTATTTGGATCTCCGTATATAGGATATAACTCGTCACGCCAACCTAAATTATTCATTCATTAAAGAGGATATGAAATAAATTTCGGTGGTCCATGCATGTTTAATTTCAAATTACCTGACAGAGCTGGAAAGGTCTTCTCCTCCCTCCATTTATCAAAGAGTTGTTTAACAACTTCTGTTCTTAATTCGAATGTATTTAAATGTGAAGCAAATTTGACAAATTTATTCTCTATAATAAATGGTTTTGGTTTTTTGAAGTGATTATTATATTCTATTAATACTTTTACAGTTGAAGGGAGAAGAAGGCCTACTTTGATATCATTATCTAGGAGAAACGGAATATTGTTATTTGACGGCTCAGAACTTGAATCATAAGTGCTACCAGGATAAGGATAAGTGTCACATTTATCAACTACATCAAAAAGAGAGTATGGTGGAGATTTAGAAGTTTCTGTCATATGGCAAAAGTACAAAATGCTTTAAAAGTGGAGTATGTGTGTAAAACAAAATAAAAAAAAAGCGCTTTAACGGATTATCTTTAATGGCGAAAATTGCCGGTAGATCGAAAAATGCACCGGCATTTTCAAAAAAATATAGATTAAAATTAATTTTATTTATAATTTACTATCATGAAACAACTTTCTCTAATTTGATAACCAATCTTTTCTTGGGCTTTATAAATCTTGCTTTCGCAGATATGATATTCACAATTGAAGGTAAAGGAATATCCAAATCATACATATTTGGTGAGTTAAAAGTTAAATGCTTAGGTTCTAAATCTAATGCGCTGTCCTTAGCCGATTGCTATATAATTAAGAAATTTTTTATTAAAAAAAAAAAAAATGTTCATAACTTTCTGTTATTAATTTGGCATAATCACTTACCATAGAAGGTGTTTCAATAGAAATGATCAAATATGACTTATTATCTTTAAGTTCTTCTGTAATTGTATATTTAGGTTGAATTGGAGCTTTACTATTTTTAGCTTGTTTTTCATCACCTTCAACTATTACTTGCTTGTTAGGCTTCGTGGGAATTTCAGTTATTAAAGACTTCTTTTCTTTCGGAAGCATAACTGGTCTCACTTTTCTATCGCCCTTGTAATTCATTTTTGGATATGCATATTCTGAATTACATACATAGATTAATTCCTCCAGATTACTGCTAATAAACATATCAAAAAGACGAAAAATGTGGAAATTGAAACGTACTGCGACTCATTTCTAGACTAAATTGCTCCTCAATCATTTCCACTGCCAATTCACTTATATATAATTTAAAATCAGAATCTTCTTCAGTTCTTTTATACGGCTGTGGATGAATTATAGCATCACAATCATAACACGGATTCTTTTCTATATTTTGATACATCAAATCAGTTAAAATGCTGTAATAAGAATAATAAGAATTCATTTTCTTATAAAGAAAATACCTTTATCTACATCTTCTCGTAAATTACTAATAACGGTTGGAACATAATATATTGAATCTTTATCTCCATTCATTGCTTTTCGTATTTCATTTTCACTAGAAACTGGTGGCGGACGAGGTACTTTACTTGAGTAACAAATGTTAATAAAAAATTTTGTGCCTATTTTATATTGTTTGTTGTTTGATGCCGATATACGTGATTTTACTACAAATCCGGGCTCTGGAATTAATTGTACGCTTTCAAGATCAGGTGAATCAGAATTGACACTTTTCATATATTGTTCTGTTAAAGCAGCCATTGCCTTTGGATTTTCTGCTAATTGTGTTGAAAGTTCCTCAAAAAATACTTCTTCCGCAAGCTCTTCTTGTTCATTTTGTGCAAAGTCTTTTAATATTAATGAAGAAGCCACATTATCATCAAAATCCAATTTAGCGTGAGCCATTTTTAACGAGATGTTACAGTAGCATGTTTTTCTCTTTTATTGGTTGATAGAAAAGGTTTCTGATTGGCCGAATCAAAAATTAACGTAAATTTTAAAAATCTTTAACGGGAATCCGCGTAAATCTTAAAGGTTTTTGATAAGGAAAAAATTTTTTATTAATATTTTGTCTTTAAAGGTTATAAAACCAACTATACAGTCAGCCTTTCTAAATGCATCCTCTCGAATGCATAACCTCTTTAAATGCACACACTGTTCTGATCCTAAGCTTGGGACTTAAATGTTAAATGCCATATTCTTCATGTGTAACATATTCTTATGTATGTCACGTGTAAGTTTGCAAATCGTCTAAATTTTAGTTAAGGTTTTAACGTTCCAGTCGGTATAGAGTGAGTTCGTTATATATAGTATTAATAATTCGGATCAAATATGTAGCGCCAGCCAAAATTAAAATTCATGTAACATAAATTTCCTTTTTTTGAAATTTCTTTATAAAAGTTCATTATATCCAGTGTAATTAATTATAAAAATTTGTTCTGAAGATTTTGGTTTAATATAATGAGTTTTCAGTACAAATAGGTTCAGTATAACCAGTTACAACTATAGTTTTACATTTTATAAGCTTTGATATAATTTTACCTTTTCTAGAATTTTGCAGATTTTTTAATAATATTTAATATAATTTTGCTAAATTTTACCTTTTATTATTTAGACAACTTGTAAAACCTTTAGGTTTTACACAGCAATCTTAACCCTAGATCTTTCTGATAATAAATAAAATTATAATAATCCTAATATAATATAATTATAGTAAAAAATGATAATTCTTATAGTTAAATTGATCCTTTTATTTTAATTCTGATGTTTTAAAGGTTTAGTTAGAATCAATTCTGATAAATAAAGTTTATAATAACCTCTGAATAGGTGTATATAAAATAGATTACAATTAATAATAAGTAGCTAAGACCTAAGTTATATTTCAAGAATAATAATTTTTATATATATCTATCTCATAAGATAAGTCACAGCATATTTCTACTATCTTAAAAATATTTATAACATTATCTTTATAAATAATTCCATTTTGAACTTTATTTTTCTCTTAATTTTCTTAAATAAGCTAAAAAAGATTGATTTCTATATATTTGAATCAAATATTTAATATAATTTTTCATAAAAAAAATATATATATCAATTGCTAATTTATTAATAAAGAAATTATCTCTACTTATAGATCATTAATATCTCAGAATATTAAAGTTAAATATTAAGATTCATAATATTTTAATTTAGATACATTTTATTAATTTAAAATTTAAGGTAAAATAAAATTATCATCAATATTAACTTCAACTAGAATAATTGTAAAAATATAAATCTAATGATAAATATTAAAAGATTTATTTATTACCTTAGAGTTTTATAAGAAAATATACAAATCATTTAAATTCTGATATAAATTCATAAAATAATCCTAAAATAGAAACTAGTCAACTTTTAAAGTCTTTAAAATTTATTATTAAAGAAGATAAATATTATAAATAAATCTAATGATAATAATAAATTTAAAAATAATAATGATTTTAAAATATTTGAAGAATATACTATTAGATTATAAGCTATTTCAAAATTCTCTAAGAATCAATTGATAATAACTCATTTTTGTAGATTTTATTTAGATTATATTATTATAGAGTTTGTAATTGAATCTTTAATAAAATTTATAAAAAAAATATTTAGATTAAAAGATTAATTTCAACATTTAAATTTTTATTCTAAATATCATAAACTATATCAAAATTAGAAAATGATAAATTTTTGATAAGATAATATATTAATTATAATAAAATGTTGATTATAAAATTTTTTAGTTTATTAATTCAACAAATTATACTTTTATAATACATTATTATCTAAAAACTTAGTGTATAAATTAAATAGTAATTTAATTTAATTTAATTTTTTTTTCTGAAATACAATAACTTATTTTAGATATTATCAGTCTAATTTTAAAATTAACTTGAAATAATAGATAAATTATCAGTATTTAATAATATTATAACTGATATATATAATAGTTAAATATGGTAGACGTTAAAGAATTTTTTAAAAAGATTTGGCTAACTTTTTTGAAATGAAGTAAATGATTTTTATTTTGGATTAATATTAAATTTTGATTAATTTTAATTATATAGTAATACTTTTTATACAAAAGAAACAAAACAAAAAAAATTTTATAATATTAAAATAATATATACTGTTATATGTAATTTGCCATATAATATCTAATTAAAATACAAAATTTACTGGCTTTTATTTTTTACTTAAACACAGATTTTTTAATAAAATTTTAATATAATTTTACTTTTTATCATTTAGATGACTTGCAAATACCAAGTTTTATTTATCAATCTTAATTTTATTTTTAGTTTAAACAATCATTAAAACTCACTATGTAAACTAATTAAGAAATAATAAAAAACTTTAAAGTACTTTATTTAAAAAATAAATATATCATTATTTAACCATATGTAATCATTATATACCAAGAAAAATTAGCTTATTAAAAAAAGATAAATGAAGATTTTTTTAATAAAAATTGAATTAATAATACTTTATCAAATTATATTTAAAAAAATTTTAAATTATTATAATAAAATTATTATAAATAGTTCAATTAAATTTTAATGGTATGTTTAATAAAATATAATTAATATAAAGTTTAATAAAATTTCTGAATTTAATTTTTTTGAAATAATAAAAATATAATAACTATCTTATATATTGTTAATGTGTAATTCTGTTGAATTATGATTATTAGATAGAATGTTCAAGTAGTAATCTTTTAAAATTTACATAGTAATTTAATATAGTTTTAACATAAGCTTTATAATTTACATGTTATTGTATATTTAACAATACTAAAAGTAAGACAACTCAATTAATTTAGGGTTATAACAATATATTTATTAATAATAAGAAATATGAAATAAGAAAAGAAATAAGAAAATAAAAGAAAATAAAAGACTAAAGGTACTAAGCATAAGAGTTAGGTCAGATGTCTCTAAAAGATGTATCTAAAAATTAAACTAAAAGAAAAACTAAAAGTGAATTAGAAGCAAACTGAAGTTTACGTAATTTTATTGTTCTCTATTTATATTAAATTTAGTACATAAAAGGATATAACAAATAAGTCAAATATGTCTAATGAATCAAATATATCTAATATATCTTATTTATCCAATATATCAATTATATCAAATATATCAAATATATCTTATATGTCAAATATGTTTGATATGTTTAATATTTAGATCTGTAATATACTACATCATGTTTGTCAATTCAATCTGATTACAATACTTATAAAAATAAAGAAAAGAACTCAATATTATGTTTATTTGATGAATTTCAAAAAATTATAGAAGCAAAAAATAATAGGTTAAAATATTATTTTAATAAATTATATCTTTCATCTAATTTATTTTCAAAAGTAAAGATTTATAAATACAAGTAAAAAAACAGCTTTTATTTATATATTATTTTCTTTATTGAATTGAAATAAGTTTATCAATAATGTATTTAAACTTAATAGGTACTTTAATATTTCTATAAATAAACTTTTTAAATTTAAGTATAATTATGATATCTTGTATAATTATAAAATATTAAATTATTGTATCTGAAGATTATATTAAGATTATTGATTCTATATTACCTAAATATATAAATAAAATAATGGTATTGAATATTGATAATTATCATAATATTTATATTAAACAAATATCAAATACAACTATTATTCTAATATTATATATTTATTAATAATCTTAATAAATCTTATTGCTTTATAGAATGCAATTTAAAAATATATATATATAATTTCATTTTTGTTTGATATTTTATTAATTAAATTAATTTAAAAAAATAAATTCATAATACTTTATAGATTTTTATATTATTTATATTTAGGAATTTTGTATAATTGATAATAATATAAAATTAAAAGAGTTAATGACATATAATTATAATATTAGGTTAAAAGAAAATATATTATTTATAATATAAAAGATGTTATTTTTATAGATTTATAAAAAATAACCTTTATTTTTAAATACATATATTAAAGCAATTGATGTTATTACAAATATTTTATCTATAAAATAATATATTCAAAAAGAACAAGTTATTTCTAATATTGCTAATTGGTTATATTAAATTTATCTTAAGACATTATCTTTTATTATTTGCTTTATAATAATTCTTTAAATATTACTAATTTTATTATATTCAGCTAAGAATTAGTATTTTTTTAATATTATCAGCTATATATAAAGATATAATTGAAAAATAAAAGTCTTTTATACTAAAATTTAAATTATAACGTAATCTACTTTAAAGATTTTGCATAATGTTTGGTAGAAAATTCTACAATAATTAAAGTAAAATTTGAATTCTTTATAAAAATACCAAATATCTTGCATTTAAAGATATTTTTAATAATATAATTTCTCTGATCTTAGATATTTATATTATTTTTATTAATTTAATAATTTTAATACTTTAGAATTATATTTTTTATTTAAATAATATTTCTTAGATTTTAATACAAAACTATATTAAAGCATTATTAATGATATTTTATTAAGAATAAATAATCATCTATCCTAGAAATTATTAAGGTTAAGCTTTCAAAATTTTCAGATATAACTGTAGAGATTTTTATAGTTTTTTATATAAAAATATACAAATGTAACAGATTATTTAAATATGGATTTAAATCAACCAATTATATTTATATAACAATGATTTTAGGGAAATTTTTGTATACTTATCATGTGCAGTATATGAATATTCAGTATGAGATATTACAATTTTAATAAAAAACAGTACTTATTTTATGCAATATTTTTTAAGATATTTATATATGCTTGTTTAATAATAAATTATTATTAATATTCTATCACAGGCTGTTATCACAAATTTATCTTTAAAAAGAAAAGAGAAAATGAAATCTAATTATAACAATATTATACTAGCTATAATAAAGATGCTAAAAGAATAATTATGTTATTTTCCTTAGGTTTTAGTATTATATACAAAAAAAATCCATTTTATTATTGTGATGCAACTAAATATTCTATTCTTTATCTATTTCTATAAATCTGATTATAGGTTTAGCTTGCGAATATACTTATTATAAAACTTATGGCAACCTTGGATTAGTATGATTTTTCATTTAATATGCAGTTTAATTCTTTGAATAAAATTTACATAGTTCATTTTTATAAAAATATAGCTAATTTAAATTCAATATTAATCACGGTATTTATCAGTGATGTGTATAAAAATTTACAAAATTCGCAGCTAATTACACAAAAGTTCTCCTATGATGTTCGGCGCATATACTGTATTTTTATTAAAATTGATATGTATATTACTAGGAGATGGAAACTGTTATTAAATCCGAGATAATTACAAAAGCTAATCAGCATCGACTCAATTATTGAGCTGTACGCTCCGGACTAATTAAGTATTTTGCTTTATCTAGACTTTCGTGTAATTTCAAAGGCCAATCAGCATCGACTCAATTATTGAGCGGGACAACGGGACAACGGGACACCTCGTGTGATATATGGCTAATTTCACGAGCATCATGAAATGTGAAATCTTCTTCCGATTTACTTGATCTATTATATACAGTACAATAAAATAAAGCTTGTTATTTATTGAAAAAAATATGTGAAAAGGAAAGTTTTCACGAAAAAAGGGAAGTGGGGAAAACATTTTTTATTAAAAATCAAATCAATATTGATCCTTGTTACGTCATTGATTAGTCGGAAATCAGTATCAATTTTAAGATCACTGTATATTGCAAAATCTTATCGTATAATTTTTTCCAATTCATCTACTCACGCAAAAAACTATGTCGTCTAACGTTGTAGTTTCTTCCACTGGTGTTCCTATACCTAATCTTCCGACAGTCGAGGAAGTGAAAGGATGGAGTGTCAAACAACTTAATGGATTTTTGAAAAGTATACTAAACATTGATAATCACATAGATACTATCACCGTGAGTCAAGAAGTCGATGGCTCGACCTTCCTTGATTTTACCACGACAGACTTTGAAAGATGGGGAATACCAGGTGGACCATCAAAACGTATTGAAATGCTAATTAGTCAAATTAAAGGAGGTAGACAAACCATTTTTTTCGTTTTCTGCTAATATATCGAATATTTACTAAATCTTGTGCTTTTCTTCCTGTATCATATACACCTTCACATTTATCATAGAACAAACCGCTACTGGTGAATGTTACAATAAAATTAGTCAATTCAATGTATAGGATTAAGCTTAACTTTTAGCTTCATTCTCGTTGCATTATGTCATATCTTAATCTTATGCTGCTTTCCTTTCTGTGCGGACATTTTGGTATTCCAGATTTGTCCTATTGCTCCAGCTTATCTCTGATTGCATAAAAAAATATTTTCGAATTTGTATACAATCACATGCGTTCCCAGAAAGAAACTATATATTATGCTGTTTTCTATACTAACTAGTCAATGCTTTCCTCTTCCTTTTCAATTCAGGTAAAAAGCGCAAGATAGAACTGAGTCAGATATTACAAGATTTCATTCCAGACGAAGTTAACTTAGTCAAAAAAAAAAGTACAATAACAGAGTTTGTGAATCGTGATGATGGATTGAATGCTGCGTTTGAAGTTTTCATTAAAAACCATGAAGGACGAATGTCGAATCAATCTCAGGATACTTACTTTGGTTTATGTTTTGGTGGGTGTGGAATTGGGAAAACCGAGTTGGTAACTCAATTTTGTATGAAAATGATCAAAGAGTATAAAAATGTTCTTGTCCTGGATTTGAATAATGAATTTCACTCATTTGACCAAAATGTGTGCAAAGATGATCAATGGCTCGGATTATCTCTAGCTACTGTATACTTTGGCAGAAGAAAATTAAAACTATCTGCATTTATTAAAACGATATCGTGCAACTATGGCGAAGAGTCATTAAAAGCTTTTGACGATGTTTCTGAGGTGCTTACTTTGATTGTCAATCATTACCGAAAATGGAAGTGCATAGAGGGAACGTTATGCGTTGTGGTCTGGAAAGATGACTACCAAACCGAAATGGAGCAATTATCTAATCCCCGGCTCAATGTTATTAAGCAACTTGGTAATTATAACCATTCGTCTATTGGAACAAGTATTGCTGCTGAGCAGGATGTTGTTCTTGTTCCTATTTTATCTGGTACCTTTGGTGGAGATGTTAAAAAGACAATTATTGAAAGTCGGCATTCTGTAAAAGTTCTGTCAACACCACCATTATCATTCGATGCTTCTATCCGTGTGTTGGGAATTTCAAAGGAAGTCTTGGAGCAATCTCCTTTCAAACTTCGTATTTTGATATCCGATATTGGTGGAGTTGCTCGATTACTCATTGATTTGCGACGTATGAACGATTTTACGAAACCTTTGGAAGAACGAGATGTTGATAGTTTAGGATCGCAGATGGTCAATAGAGTTTCGGAGTGTTATAGCATTGTTACTCCACGAGGTAGTGCTCTTTTACTTTGCTATTAAAGCTTTTCAATGTCTAATGAACATCTTCATTTATAGGACAACAGAATATAACAACTCTTCCGAAATCAGCTCTAAAGGAGCTTATAAGATGCATCATTACTGGAACGTCAATTTATGATGGTACTCAACTTCCAGAAACTGAAGTAACTTATATTGACCTTAATCGCCATGGAATTTTTCATTATCGTCCGTTGTCAAACGATCAATTTGTTATAACAATGCCGTATATCCTTTTATGGAAATTAAATAACGAAGTTGCATTATTACCTTTAGATCTCCTTACATTTCCTTGTCAAAGGTGGACCTGGCAGGATTTTGAGAGATTGGAAGCGTATTTGGAGACTTTAAGGGCTGGAAGCGGTACTACAATTAAAGAGCAATTTCCTCATGCATACGCGAATGCAAATGTTTTGAAATGGAAAATTGAGCCATGTGAACAAATGTCAGTTGAACAAGAAGCTGTTCAATGCGTTCCAAGAACTGGGACGGTGGATTGGACAGGAATACATTCGTACAACCATTATATTCTGTCGTCCGTGGTCTTTCTTTGCCATACTGGAAATCCTGCGATTGATTCTCATTCCAGCCGCAGGTCAGGATCCAAATATATCAGATTATTAAAGCAAACAAAGCACTTCGCGCCAAAAACGAAGGGCAAAATATTTTCATCAGAGGTGATCAGATGGTATAATAATGCAATGGAGAAATTCAATAATGCTAGAATTTTCGAATCGATAGGATTTATCCTTTTCACTAATCGTGATATTAGTAAGATTGATCGTGAGAAAGCACTTGCAGCATGCCCCAACTTGATCATAATCTGTAGAGATAATCTTGAGAATTATATGTCACATACTTTTTTATACAGAGGATTTGTAGATGAGGAATATAGAGACGAAGAGAGTGCATAACATCAGAATATAAGTTTCATTTGCTGCCATCAATGAAATTTTATTTTATTTTGTATTTCAGATTAATACAACTGCATTGCTAATGATTTTTTCTTGACAAAATGTTGCAACAAATTAATTAAAAAATCACTGAATAAATAAAAAGTTGCCGAAAAGACACACGAACTTAATTGTATGAGAACATATATGTATGATTTCCTTTTTTTATTGCAAGTGGAATAATTCGTTAGATGAATATATGAATATTGCAAAATCCTATTATACTCGACGTTCACTATACTGTACATTAATTAATTCACCAAATTTTTTTTTTACTTTCGATCGTTTAATTTTTAATCATTCAGGTGTTATAAATATCTCTTTTTATTTCACTCATTACAATTGGTGTATTTTACAAAAATGTTCAAAAAACTTTACCAATGTCGTATTTATTTTTAAAAAATATATGGAAATAAACCGCATATCTGAAAGTTCATTATATTAACGCATGTTACGTTTGACTCTTGATAAACTAATTCATTTTTATCATTTCGTTCCAGATCCCTTTGTTTATAATAATTGTATTGTCGTTATTATAAGATTTATTGTATTTCATTTTATAATATAGGAAATTTTTTTTAAAAAAAAATTAGTGGTAACAATTAGTTAATTCGGATATAAATATATATACGGTATAAATGAATTAATGTATTATTCTAGGAAAAAAATTATTTGTGACTTAAACAGTTTATTTTTGTTATTTACAAGGTATTTAGGTATTTACAAGATAATTCTTCAGATAAATAAATCAGAGAAGTAAGGTTTCCAAACTTTATCTAGGTCCGATCAATACATCATAAATCATTTGTATTGTCAATCGAAAAGACAAACGATAATACAATAGAATATTTGAAGTCAATTTATTCATTATTCTAAATAAATTCTTTTTTGGGTTAACGAACGATTTACAAAAGAGATTTCTTAAAAAGAGCTCGAGAAGGAAAAAGGTTCAGTGATGATGCGATAAATATTTTCCAATGCATAATCACTCTTTGTTTACAAAAGAAGTAGGTACACCTCCCGGTACCATTATTTTCCCGCATTTATATATTTTTAATGTTTTAATAATGTAGTCACATGAAGATGAAAGAATTTCCTAACCATTGTCTATTGTTCTTGGAAGAAAAAAGACTTTTTCTTTGATTTCTCCATATGGCCTGCTTAAGAAAAAGCCGCTTGAATTCGACGATTAGAGATAGAAAATCGAACTAAGTTAAGGCTGACTATATAGTAAGTGTTAATCCTTTAAAAATGGATGAATTTATTTTTTATAGTAAAACATTGTTAAATGGAATGTCATTACAAAAAAAATTTTGAATTCAAGAAATCAATTAGAAATCAAAACTTATTACTAGGGATGTTAAAAAATCCCATGGGACTAGGTCCTAAACTGTCCCACGAAGTCCGGTCCAGTTCAAAGTCCTTGAACTATAGGACTGCGGTCCTATAGTAATTAGGACTTGCGCTCCTAGAATTGCGGTCCTATAGTAATTAGGACTTGCGCTCCTAGAATTGCGGTCCTATAGAAAAATAATCGTTCAAGTCGAATGATTCGTCATCGTTCTTCTTGAACGATTTTTTTATCTTTCAAGTCAAACGATTCGTCTTCGTTTTTCTTGAACGATTATTTCTTTTATCGCAGTCCAAGGACCGCAAGTCCTAATTTCCATAGGACCGAGTCCTAAGACCGCAAGTCCTAATTTTTATGGGACCGCAAGTCCTAATTCTATAGGACCGTGGTCCTAGGACTGCAGTCTCGGGATCTGGTCCTAGAATCCAGTCCTAGGACTCAAGTCCTATGGACCGGGTCTTCTTTAGGACTGGGAGGTTCGGGACCGGACTAGGACCGGACTGGATTTTAACATCCCTACTTATTACGATATTTTCAACCTTTTTTTTTTTTATTAAGATGTTCATTATAAAATTGAATAGCGTTTCTTGGAATGATGTAATGAAAATTTTTGAATTGACCGAAAAAATTTAACATTAACTATGACTTTAGTTTATTTGCTATGACGAACGATATTGTTTATTGAAATGATGCGCTATTTGAAAATTATTTGAAATTTACTTTCCGCATTTTCTAATTAATTTTTCTTATGATTTTATTTTGAATTAATTATTACAAAGTTCTTTCATTTTTTAAAAAAAAAAGGAAAAAATTCGATGGTAAGAAAACGTGGGTTCATTAATAACGCGTTGATGTAAATTTTGAAGATTCACGCTGGAACTTTGTATGCCGAAAAATAATGTCATCCTTCAGGAATCCACTAATTTACCCGATTAATTGATTAAATAAAACCTAACCCATCGAAACATCACAAGTGTCACTCCGGTGACAAAACATAACGCCTAACCCTAACTCTAACTAATCTCAATTATACCAGCCAATCACAGCGCGGGGGTAAATTAGTAAATCCATCCTTTAAAACACTTTTTTTCATTGCAGAAGAAACGCGTATGTATTTGTGTTGCGCAAGATATTTATTTCCACGTGTTAATTTTAATAATTATAATGAAACCGTGTTTGTTATTTTAAAAAGATAGATGTTTCTTGTTTCGATTTTGACTTTCGATCAGGATTCTATAGTTTTGACGGAACCGTTGAAAATTAAGGGTTATAAGAGTTTTGCCTCACAACCTTAGGCATGTATTAATAAAAAGATTTTATGCCATGGATTGTTCTACACGATGTATTTCACTTGTATTTTTTCAATTAAGTTTGGCATTCCTCAATGTGATCGATCGTCAAATGCACAGTCGATGAGTTTTTTGAAGATTTAATAAAATCAACTAGTATTTTTAAAATATCATTGAATTATCATATCATTACTTTTTTTTTATTTTGTGAAAAGAAATAAAGTACTTAAAGTAAATATCAAATTATATTGTTCAATATATACGGTTAAAGTTCGTTCAAAAAAATTTCAGATTAATAAATAAAGCAATGTCTATACCTGTGATCTTTTATTTCTCCTGTCATTGATCCTTATCCTTTCTCTTTCTGTCCCAACTTCATCTATCATTCTTCTTTGAGTGATATTCCCTCTTTTAATGCTCTTTCATTTTTAACCCAATTTATCATAGCTTGACCAATACCAATAACAGCTTCATCAGCAGTCACCCTAACACGCTCTTTCAATTCTAAAACAACGGGCTCATATTTCTCATAAGTAACTATAGAATAATCTTTGAATAATTGCAGCTGCCTTAACGCAAATAACTTGAAAGAATTTATAAATGAAGGAAAGTACTTTGCCATTAAGTCATTAATCGCTATGAATAATTCATACATCACACCCTTTACCATCTGTAGTATTGAAGAGATATGAGGTGAAAGAGCATTATAAATCGATTCTAGTTTAGAATATATTATTGATAACCCTTTTGTAACTAAGACGAGCGCTTTGCTAAACGCTATGATTGACATTGATACCGCCCATTTACCCATCCTAAATGTTGCTAAAAGTATGACTAAAATAACTGTGGTATAAAAGAGACTTAAAGCTAATATTATAGGGCGTAATAAAGGAGCAAATATGATCCATAAAGATCCTAAAATTTTCAACACCTTTTCTTTAATATTTCTATAAAATTTGTTACAAACGAGTTTAGCCTCGTTATAAAATTTAGGGATACCAATGATTATTGGTAAGAGAGTAGTATGGTAAGTATAATATGTTGATCTCAACGCTTCTATCGTTGAGATGAATGAGAATTCCGCCAATTCCAACCCACAGTGCTTCAAACGATTCATCAATATTGGTGTAAGAATTTGAAGATGTTTCTTGATGAAATTATAAAGGGTAGGGGATTGTATTATAGAATAAATGAATTCCGCAAAACTACGAAGTAATGGATCCCCACATATCATATATATTACATAACTCGTATCACTTGCGGCCGCTAATACAAATCTAGTATATAAAAAATTTTGAAGTATAGGAAAATAATATTCGTATTTTTCATAAATTTTGATAGTTGAATAATGAATAAATTCACTGGTAGGTTTTAATGCGTTGTCATATATGATCACCGAAATTTTCCATCCAAAGCATAATAGATCTCTAAAATCTTTTGCTAAATCTTTAGCAAGGGCACAAGCACAATACCATGTTATCCTTCCCAAGTAAATGGCTTTTGATACGATCCATTTTCCCGGTTCAACGATAAAATTCGTTATAAACCATGACATGAATACCAATAATGGACATATTATTTCATTCCATCCAATTTTCGAATATTTCACGGAAAAATTCCATGAATGAATCAGAAAATTTTGTCCTTCCTTACCTATTATCTTTCCAATATCCCACGTTGTAATCAATGTGGATTTAAATATTGGCCACACGTATGAATGTATCCAATTTAATATTACAATTATTGGTCCTTGAATATATGTATCCCATAATGGTGGTATCGCTACACAAATTTTTGGTATCATTTTAATACACCATATTGTAAGATGCCAGAACTTGATTAAACCCGTTTCAATTGAATCTAATGAATAAAATACAAATAATCTAAACAAGTCCCAGGTTAACCTTATGAACAAGTATATCGCTGCAAAAGGAACAAATGGAATATAAAGTAATGGATTTTTTTGTTGTTGTTGTTGTCGTTCTGCAGAATCGGTTATAGCGTCTGAGGAAGAATGTTTTTTGACTTTTGTAAAGTAATTCTCTCGTAATTTTCTCCATTTCGGATATTCTTTTATAGCAATATAAAGGTATAAAATTGATAATAAGAATATTATTATGATCCAATACCAAGAAAAGGAATCTTGTACGGAGGACATAGGTTCTATTTGCGGTGATTCTTCAGTGTATTCGCTCGTTTTATCTATTTCAAAAAGAAAAAAAAAGGAAATTAGGTCTATTTATATTTGACGTAATTTTTCCGGATGTTTACCTACTTGTACTACTTATTTGGACGTTAATGATGATCTTAAGATGAAATGCGCAAAAAAAAATCACGTGCAAATTGCGGAAAATCAAGCCGATTTGCGCATTGCGCAATTATTTTTCAAATATGTTTTTGTGCAAAATTTTGATAGAAAAGATTAGATAGTAATTTGATTATCTTTTTTTTGATCTATCTTTAAATACAATCGAGATAAATTAACAATAATTGGGGGAAATTTGCGCAAATTTTTTAAAAAATTGAGATTGTGCAATGCGCAGATTATGATCAAAATTTGCGAAAATCAAAAGTTGCGCTCCGCAAATTCCTCATACACTGCGCGGCGGAAGTTTGTTATAAATTTAATAAGGTACAACCGAACCAATGAATTGCTGTATTTCTATTTAAATCCTCCCCATGTTTGATATAAAAACAAATAGAAATTAAAAATTTCTTTGCTGATCCATAAAGAAATGGTAAATATAAATGATACATTATAATCCGTTATTGTTATATGCTTTTATGCATTTATTTTAGATTTCCTCGCGTTCGGAACAAAAGATAAATAAAAAAAATTCTTTAATTATATTACATTATAACAATGAATCACTGCTGTAACAAAACCTTTCTGGTTTAGACCCTTATAAAATATATCAGTTATTTTTGTAGAATCAATCATTATCGATCATGTGACAGACCGATCCAATCCCGACATATACTCGGATCGCCATGAATGTTTTGAATTTTGTTACCTCACTCGAGGGGAGGAAAAATAATGGCAGAAGTTAGAAAAAAATTACGTAAGAGAGTTCGAGTCCCTGAAACAATTCAGGAAATTCCAAAAAAGACTAATAAAATCAACAAGTCTACCGACGCTGATGAACATACCGCCAAAAAAATAAAAGAAGAAGCCAAACCATATACGCGTGGAGTATCATTAACTCTCGATTTAACAGATATGATAAATAATCCACTTTACAGTGATATTATTATTACATGTAAAGATGGAGAAGAATTGAATGCTTGTAAATTACTTTTATCCGCCCGTTCGGAATATTTTAACAAATTATTCTCCTCAACTCAACAAAAAGCGAAAGAATCGTCATCTTTTCATATAACGAACAAAATTGATCTACCAGAATTACCTTCTTCAGCTGTCAAAGTTGTATTAGAATATCTTTATACTGGAAATGTGTCTGACGAAACATTAACAATTGACATCTTATCAGACGCGTATAATGGTGCTACAGTCTTCTCACTTTCGAATTTGAAAGAAATAATTGTTCAATTTATGAAAACATACATGAAACATCGTCATAACGTTGGTAGTAGTAATCAAATAGCAAAAATTCTATCAGAAGTCTCGGATAATTCTATTATCACATCTTCATCTGATGAAAATCAACTTATCGATGAAATTTGTAGATTTTTAATGTCAAAATCTCTTTATAACATAGAATATCAAAATTTATCTTCAAAAGCTTTGGAATTTCTTCTTTATCACACTTTAAATATGAAGGAAGGGAATTTTGTTACTCCTGAATATGACGTATTTAAATATTGTATATTGTGGGCCGTAAATCAAATTTCAAAGGATGATGTTCTCAATTTTTGGTTACTTATACCAAATAATGAAGATTTTAAAGCACAGGAATCTTTGAGTAAAGAATGGAATCCGATTGATTCAAATAACGCCTTATTAAAACAACATAGGAGTGCAATTTCTTCGATATTGAAATCTATTCTAAAATATATTGATTTCCGTCTTATTCATCCTAATATATTAGCCAATGTGATTGAACCTTTGGAAATTGTTAATCCTTCAATTCTTATAGCCGCTTATCGATACCAGGCTCAATTGAATGATGGTTTTGTTCAAACGAGGCGAGGTATCCAAGGGTAATTACAATATTAATTGAAGTTGAGATTTCATGTCACTTTGTTGTATCTGATAACCAAAAAAATATAAATTTATAACTAATTGCTTTTCTAATTATAAACCTATTATACATATTCCCAATTTTTCCCTAGAGATAACTTCACAAAGAAACAATAATTTCTGTTAAAAAAGTTCTTTTTACTTTTTTTAAAATAATGTTTCAATCTACCTGATGAAAAATATCGCATAAATAATAAAAAAAAAAAAAAAAGAAAAGAAAAGAAAAAAGTTGAAGCTAATTATTATTATTAGTTAATTTTTTTTTTTTTTTAAAAAAAAAAAAAATAAAAAAATGTAGTATATGTAATATATGGAAGGGAGTATTTATTGTCGCCATTACATTAATTTTAGCCGCGACAAGACTGCCAAGCTATAATAAAATTTAACTTTAAATATCCAAGAAATATAAAAAAAAGCAATTTAGCAACCAAAAGAAGACTTACTAGGAAATCCACAAGCAAGACTAATAACAAAGTAAATGAGCAACTAAAAGGAAAAAAATTGTCATTTTCCATTAATGATATTCTAATTTCGAATAAAAAAAGTTTACAACTCTTAACTTTTCTACTTACAATAATAACGAATCCCAAAAGAATCATCAGTTTTGTATTTTTCCACCACATTGATCGCTATTTTGAACAAAATCACATCAATATTCAATGCCATTTCATAAAATTTTATAAAAATATATGTTTGTATATAAATAATCACAAACCTTCAAAGCAGTACTTCGCTTTTTAAAGGCGAATGCTCGTTGGTTTAGAGTATCAGTTTTGTCAACCAAGAGCTCAATTCTTTCTCCACGTTCCAAAACACGTTCTATAATAAATTGTTAGTGAATCAATTATAAATCACATTATGAAAGAAAAGCGAAAGCCGTAATTACCAATGTTATGAACCATAACGTCTCTAACTTGTTCAATTTCTCCATGCACTTGTTTAATTTTATCCGCATGTGGATCATTTGAAAAATATTCCTATATAAAAATTTTGTTTTAAATAAAAAGATAAAAAATAAAATAAAAATAAATTTATTAATTTCAAAATTCAAATAAATGTTATTGATACATACCATTTGTTTTGCAATAACTTTTGAAAATTCGTTCATACCATAAGGCAACGCTGTGTTTGCTCTTTCTTTCGGATAAGTAGCTAAAAACCGTTCTTTAATGTCCTGCAAAAAGGAAAACGGAATTCGTCGTCCAAATGTATCATCAGCCATACACATGTAAGTGAGCCCATCTTCGCAAATATAATGAAAAAGATATCTTTTGATGAACAGTCAAAAATGCATACATATTTAATATAATATATCTCTTATTTTTTTGCAAAACCACCTTTAATCATTACCTGTCATAAACGTATGTCAGCTTGGAGTTATTTGGTGGAATCTTTTCAAGAATCGCCTGAGTAACTAAAGAATTCATTGATAAAATAAGCATAAAGCATATTTGACATACAACGAAACCTTTAGATTTAAAAATATTACTCACCTTGAGTGAAATTGCCGGAAGAACTGGTATATTCTGCCAAAATGACAGGACCTCGAGCTACCAACCCGTAGATAAGAGACATTTTTTATTTTTTCTTCGTTAATGGTTATGCTAGAAAAAGAAAAAAAAATTCTTTCGATTTCAATAATCAATTAACAGATCAAAGTAGGTTTTTGTTTTGGTATAACTTAGCCGGTGCTTACCGTTTTAATTTATCTGATCATCGTACAGGATGATTTTTTACCGCCAAAGTCTTTAATGAACTACTGCGCGATTTGTACATCTAAAACTCCAAAAATGAAATCATGTCGATAGGCGGTATTTTCGAAATAGTTGCTTAATAATTTTGGTATTGACCAATATAATCCAATCAAAGTATATCTCAATTTATTTCATATTGATTTATGTATTTTGATTAACGTTGTAACATAAACTCATTAGTCGGCATCTAATGCAACAATGAATAATCATTTTTTATATTTCATTATTGTTCTATAATGTTTATTGAGGATGCACTACTTGTAAAATGTTCCGAGTAAAAATGTTTTATATTTTTTAATAAACATGTAAATCAAGAATCTACTAATTTGCTTTCGGTTTTAATCATTTCAAAATGAATGAAAGCATATCAGATATTCTTAAAGATATTCTGGTTTCTCTATTTCATTATGGAAAGTTAACAATGAAAATGAATACATTCTCTTAGGTATTATAATAATAATGAATAAAGATATTTTCTTTTATAATTTCTTATAATGCAAAATAATATAAAATTATAATATATAAATATTAAATTTTAAAACAGTAAAATTTTTTATAATGAAAGTTGTTTATTAATAATTTTTCAAAAAAAATTAGCGTTTTAAATACTACTATTTAATACATTTTTTTTTTTTTTAGTAATTTACATTTTTTTAATAAAAAATAATGATATAATTTAAAAATCAATACTAATTTCATTATAAAATAAAATTTTAATAAGATATATTATATTTTTTAATAATAAATATCAATATTCTAAACAAGTTCAATTAAGTAAAAATGTTAAAATAATTTTATTTAATATTTTATAAAATAATATAAATCATAATAAAAGATAAAATTATAATTAATTATAACTAGTTTTAATTACATTTTTAATTAATTATAATTAATTAAAACCTTTATTTTAATAATTAATTAAGTAATAATAATTTAATTAAAATTCAATTAAAATAAAAACAATATGAAAATCATTTAAATTTTATACTAAATTATTAAATAAAAATATGATATCTTATTTAATAAAATTACTAATTAAAATAAATAAAATAAAACTAAATTTATTTAAAAAAAAAGTTTTTATAAAACCAATAAAGCTAAAATAAGAGAAGTTAAAAATATATTAAAAGACTTTATTTATTAAAAAAAAAAAAATTAATAATATAATTTGATTTAAAAATTCAGTTTATTATTTTAGAATAATAATAATATATAAATTTATAAATATTCATTATTATAATATTTATTTAATTAATTATTTTATATTTTTTTTTTATTTTGAATTATTATATATTATTTAATAAATTATATTATATAAAAAATTAAAATACTATATAAATTAATAATATTAATACTATTTTATTTAATAATACTTTATAAATTAAAAACTTTTTACTTTTATGTTTTTAAAAATTAAATAAAATTTAAAAATTAAGAATAAAAATTATTTATTTATTTTAATATTTTACTATTATTTAATAAAATTATATCTATTTTTTTATTAACTTTAATAAAATTAATTATTCCTTAAACTGTAGAGTAGGCAAATTTATCTGCAAATCTTTACAGTTTAAGAGATAGTAAATTTGTATTTAATACCTATAATACTGCAAAATAAAATAATAAATCTGAAGATAGTTGATATTGAATTGATCACTAAACATCTTAAAGAATAATTTATTATAAACCTGAATAATTTTACATTATAAAGCTATTATGCAAAGTCTTCTTATTAATAATAAATCTGTTTCTCATTTTGTTTTATTCTTTTTGCCTATAATAGATCTTCTATATATATTGCTAAATAGTCATAAGTTCATTTTTTTATAGAACTTTTCCTTTTTTAATGATATTTACAAAATTATATTTAGTATAAATAAGAAACTTGATAAAAAACTTTAACCTTGAAGAATTGATTTAATCCTTTATATTATATGTATAATGTAATTTAATATATCTAAGGTTGTTTATTTAAAAATTGAATGTACATATAAAAATATAGAGTTTTTATATTTAATAGATCTTCTGAGTAATTTAATTCCCTTAGTTTTTAACATTTACACAGTACATCATTAAAGAAATAATTAATCTACTTATAAAAAAATTTATATATTGCTAGAGTAATCTGTTTCTTCAATTTAATTAGAAGAATTACAAATATGACCTTTAATATTTTTCTTTGATATTTTTATTAAATAAAGACTAATCATCCAATTTTTAATATAATTATTAATAATCTTGATAATATACTGCTAAGTTTTCTACAGCTTAAAATTACAAAAAAAAGCATATTTCATCTTTTAGCAGTAGAACAAAAATAATTTTAGATAATATTTTGTAAATACTGTTAAATATTCATATACGTTGAAATAATTAAATACTTTTTCCTAAAAATATATTATATAACTTTTGAAATATTTATGAAAATATACCAAATATATCATATATATTTTTTAATTATTAAATCATCATTCAATAGTATTAATACATATAAATTTTCTCATTTAGGTTATGAAATAATTGATTGTTATCTTTCGCAGAGTTTTATTACTTCTAAAAAATTAAATACTACTATTTTTTGTGATTATTTGTATCGTAAATATAATAACTATTTGATTAATAATATCATTTTTATATGTAGATATAATTACCATAATCATTATCTATAAAGATGCTGATTTAAATGTTTGATCTGTTTAGGGTATTTTTAAGATGAAGTTAAAAAAAATGTTGATACTCTTATAAAGAAATCAGGTGAACAAGAATTTGTTGAAAAAGATACTGAAAAAGATGCAATTGAAGAAGATTTAAATAATATAATTAAGACAAAAGAATGATATTATAAAAGTTAAAAATTTATTAGAATACACAAAAGAATTATTTTTAAATTATAAAAATTTTATATATTTATACATTTTGAAAATATATTTTATTATTTTATCATTACATTATTAGGATCACATTTAAATTAGTTAATTTTATTATGCATAACAAATATATTTTAAAGATTTAATTTCTTGATTAACTTATAGTTTTAATATGATGGGCTTTTGAAATCACGTGATTCATAGCAAAAATCACGATTTTGATTGGTTGATCAATGCATCGCCTCCTTATTAGATTTGGAAATTTTGTGTAACGGGAGTGGATATTAAATACTGTATAATGATAATTGATAACCAATCATGTTAATTAATTAAATGATTTTTTAAACTTTTTGACAATCAGATTTAACGTTAAAATTCTTTTTCTGATTAAAGTTTTAAAATTATACCTTAAAAGTAAAAAATCACTCAAATGAATTTTTAATACTATAATAAACAATCTATACCAGCTTATAAAAATTAATATATAATATTTAAATACCCGTTGATTTTCTTTAATTAAAATTATATGACTTGGTAACGTAATGTGACTAATAAGAACCAACCAAATTCCTAATATTTATTTAAGGTTTTTACTAAATCTCATTACAAATAGTTATACTATCGCGTCACAATCTAAAATTTTCTTTGTTTTGATTGGTCAACCAAATTAACCTCCACACAGCTCCTCTTTTTTTTCTGCGAAACAAGTTCCACTTGAATTGTCTTTTGAAAGCAATAAAAGTGGCGACAACCCGAATATTTTGAATAAGCTGAACCCAATTATGGATGAATAAATTACAGATTCGCGAAATTCGGATTGAAGATCAGGTAACACAAACCCGAATAATTAAAATTTGAACTGATATTTGGTTTTTCGTTTCGGGATAAAACTAGTTTCGAAGACAAAGTTAGTTTCGGATAAGTTTCGGGAATTCATCAGATGGACTTTTTGTAACATATGTCTATTGGGCAAATGAAAATGATATTTTTTATGTAACCGATCAACAAAAATTAAAATATTTCCCTTATGTGTAATTTATTGGATACGAAATTCAGAACAAGTAATGAAACATATTCTTTGTAACCGAACTTTGTTTTAATTTTATCATTCCAAATAAATCATACAAATTGTATTTTGTAAAACAAGCTCGCATGTTTCACAAAGATGCTCAATATTGGTTTAAAGGCTTCAATTTTCTTTGCTATTTTTGGGGGAGGTTTTTTTTCAGCTAAAATTACTTCAACTTCTTTGTTGCTGGCTTACAAGGAACTTTGTAAAAAATTTATAAGTCTGCAAGAAGCATAGATCTCGATAATATTGAACTTTTTACCCTAAAAGTTTTTATTTTTATAACATCGCAAAGTATTCAAATATGCCATCCGAACATGTGCGTGCCTCATCAAACTCTTCAGTAACATCGCCCATTCCAAAAATTAACATCGTTGATTCTCAACAGAAACCTAACAGTAAAGACGAAGGTAACAGCCACGGTCAGTTGGCAAATAGTAGAGGTGCCCTTCTAGATATCGTCAGCAAACGTACGGGTCAATCAAAAGACAAAAGTTCTAGGGATAAAAGTCCCTCTAGAGATAGAAGCCTTTCTCGTAGTACTGGAAGAAGTAAAAGTTCCGATAAACGAGGAAAAAGCCCCTCGGGTCGCAAAAGTCCTTCTGGTGACAAACTTCTTGGTTCACCTAAAAGTTCAAGTTCGAGATCTAGAAGTCCAGCACCTCGTTCAAAAAGTCCAAATAGTAAAGATTCATCGTCACGTTCAAAGAGTCCCAATCCAAATAGTCCTAGTCGAGCTGGTAGTGATTCAATGACTAAATCTTCTTCTCAAGATGCTCGTTTAAATTCGGGTGGTAAATTGCAACCTTGGATTGCTTCGTCTTCTGATAAAGGTGATAAAGGCGGTAACTCAAGAAATTCAAATTCTAACAGATTAAGCCTTCCTCATAACTTTGCTGAATTTAACATAAACAATATACGTGATATACGTGAAAGTAATGAACGATGGGCGAAATTAAATCTTGTTCCAAGTGATAAGGACAACAAATCTAGTAGCATTATGGGAAATTTCTCTAAACCTACTAGTCTTCGAATGAATATGAATTCTAATAATCGTCCAAAACTTTCAGTTGAGACCCTTAGTAATTTATTCGGTAGTAGGTCTATGCAAAGAACTCCTTCAGGTGGTCATACTGGAAATTCAAATAGTTCTCCTTTGTTGGCTGCTGCTGGAGGATTTCCTTTGATTAGATCTAGGAGTTTTAACTCTGCCATAGATGATTCACAAAGGATACCAGCTTCGTTTCGGAAGGAATTGGAAAAACCACATCCTCTTCAACACAATTGGTTAGTATATTAATATAATAATATAATCTATTTTATAACGGAGATTATTAGAAATTTTATATATAATAATGTATTATGCAGGACTATGTATTATGATAGTAAACCTGTCATGACACCTGGACCAAAAACACCAACGGGAAAACTTTCGTATGAAGAGAATTTACAGACTATTGGTACCTTTGACACGGTAATTAAAAATTAATATTATATTTATTGTTGCCAGGTTCTTAAGATTTTCTATTAGAACCATTTTAAAATATTTTTATTATTTCTATTCAGGTTGAAACCTTTTGTCGTTATTTCAACTGGGTTAAGAAGCCGGGTCAATTAGATTTAAATACGAATTTTCATATATTTAAAGACAAAATTAAGCCAATGTGGGAGGATCCGGCAAATGCTAATGTAATTATTTTCAATAAATAATGTCTTTAGTAAATAAGTGCTTAAACTTTATTTTGTATAAATTTTAGGGAGGAAAGTGGGTAATTTCAATGAGAAGCACTCAATTATTGGATCGTTGTTGGACTTGGCTTGTGTATTCATTGGTCGGAGAAGAATTAGATGAAAATGATGATATATGTGGTGCCGGTAAGTCAGAACCCTTTTAAATTGTACAATGTCACAAATATGGAAATTTAATTATATTTCCTTCATTTAGTCATGTCTCGTCGAGCTCGTGGTGACAGAATTGCAGTTTGGGTAAGGGACAAAGATAACGTTCCTGTAATTAATGGAATTGGGTAAGTAATTTATTTATAATTTTTTGTCATCCTATCCCATTTTTTAAATTTTGCTTCTTTTATTTTATTTAGGCGACGTTTATTAAAGATTCTTGATTTGCAAAATGAGAAAGGAATTGGAATGGATTTTCAGGTAGAGAATATAATATATTCGTATATTGAATTTACAAGAAGAATTAATATATATGCTAAGATTTTAAAACTTTTTTTTTCGTTTCTTCTAGTTTAATGAAGATGCATTAAAATCTGGAACATCATACAATAATCGTGTATATCTGTCGTTGGAAAGCTTGAAACAAGAATTGGAAAGTGAGGAAAAAGCAAAGAAAGAACTTGCTAATGCTGAAGAAAGTCAAACTGAAGTACATGCAAACGGCAAAGATTCAGAAATCTATGAAAGCAAACCAGAGATCGTTGCAGTTGATGTGGATGCGAAATTAGATGCTGCAACTAGACAAGGAGTCGAAAATGATTCAAATGATAACAATATAAAAGAAGAAAATCTGCAAGCCGAGTAATCAAAAAAAAGTAATAGTTGATTTTTTTCTTTTTAAATTTTATTTCAAAATCATAAATTATTTTTAAATTTATTTTGTATTTTTAAAGTGTGTATAATGTTATGTTATTTTATTTTATTTTATTTTTGTCTTTTTGGTTCAAATTTAATTTCCGTTATTTTCAGATTTGATTTTCATGATGTAGAAATTTTTGTGTTTTTGTTTAATTATTTGCACTTTATACATACACTACTTTTTTTTTTAATTCTTTTGCCATGTAAGATAGTCCATTTTTTCGAGATGATCATTTAAAAAATTTTTTATTATATATATATATATTTTTGATCTTTGTCAACATTTTTATTTTATTTTTTTCACATTCTTTACAAAAGATGATTTTATATTTAGCATTTTATGTATTTTTTTTAGTTTTTTTTTTTTTTTTAAAAAAAAAAAGAAATACAATAGACTTATTTATTAAACAATTATAATTTTTTTTTTTTTTTTCACGATTATTTTGCGTTTCCTAGTTTTTTTATCAATTATAGGTTTTGCTTATAAATTTTACGAAAATCAAGTCAGGCAATTACTCCAATTAAGATTTCGGAGTTTGGGTATATCAATTAAAGATGTCTTCATTATACCGAAACTTTCAATATTATTTTAAGAATGTCCGTTATCTAGATATTGACGAGAGCTGTTATTAGTGCCCCAATTTCAGCTTAAATAAAATTTATAAAATATTAAAACATATATATATTATTTAATTTCTTAATTCATTATAAATAATTTATTTAATCAAATTAAACAAATTTCTTACCTTTTTAAACATTTCATTATTTTAAACTTTAGCAATCTATTTGTTAAATAAATACATATTAAATATGCTATAGATTTTAATCTATACACGTGATATAAATTAAACTTATATACAAGATTACCAAATGACGATGAATGATTATGTAAAACGTATTTGTATTAAATTCAGGTTTCAATTTCGACATTTTTGAATGGCAAGACCATTTCGATAAAAACCCAAATCATGTTTTAATTGCCAAAACCGCATATTAGGTATTTTTTTCGTAGGTACCGTAAAATCCAAGTATGTCTGATCCTAAACACTGAAATCATGATTCGCAACTATCAAAACGCAAAATATAACAATAACTACATTTTTATGCTATTTTTTTGATGGGGTTACTTATTATAGATAAGTGATTAGATTTCTCTAAAGTTAGTAATCTCTTAAATCATAAGAACCACTTAAGAACTGTTTAATATTTCTAATTATAACCTAATACGTTAGTTGAATTCTTATTAAAATATAATTATATACTACTATTTCCTAATAAAAATGCTTGCTTTTGAACTTGAAATCTGATTAGCTTTTGAAATATTACTAATTGATTCATTTTTTATCAAGGTTAATTATTCACTTATTTTTATTATTTTCAGGTTGGTTAGGATTAAATTTATTACTATTTAATGTTCTTTAGAAGAGATTTTTTTGTTTATTTATTTTAACAAAGAGAATTATTTAGATTTTTTTATAATTATCATTTTTTTAAAAAAAAATAGTTACAAATTATTATTTTAGCAATTACTATTATATAAATTACTATTTGTAAATAACTGATATAAGTATTATTGTTATAAAAATTGGTATTACAAAATTACTATTACAAAAATTATCATTACAAAATTATTAATACAAAATTACTATTAAAAATATTATCATTAATTAAAATTACTATATCATAAAAATTATAAATCATAAATTTATTTGTTTATTTTAATTACATTTTAAAATAACTAAAATACTAATATTATAAATTTAAATAATACTGATTGTTTTATTTTAACTCTTCAATTTAATTTAAGAGTAAAACTGATATTCTATTTTAAAATTAAGGTTGCTGGATAAAACTTAGAGGTTTTGCAAGTCGTCTAAATGAAAAAAAGTAAAATTTAGTGAAATTATATTAAAATCTTATTAAAAAATTTAAAAATTATTTATTCATGTATCAAATGACTATGATATAAAACTATGTAATAAGGTTTTTGTGCTATTTTCATTTAAATTTTATATAAATTCTTCTTCTGTTAAATTTAATGGTAGTTTATTCACAATCTCTATACATTTAATAATTATTTTCTAATGAAAAGATAATCTAGCAAATAATATATCATATGCCCTGTCTTTAATTGAGTCATTAAATAAATTAAGATACAATTTAATTTTAATTAAATTTGTAGGTGTAAGTTTAATAAGAGGTCTATTATATATACATATAATGATTAATAATACGGAAAGAAATAATAAATATAAACTAAGTAATATTTATGCACATTGTAAGTGATAATTCTATATTCACTTTTAAAGTTAATGATGTATTATCTTTTGCATACTAAATTTGACTTATACTATTTTTTATTAATAATATTCAGATAAAATTTTAGCTAAAATAAAAAAGTTAATAGTATTAACGTGTAATTCTTACGAACTACGACTGTTAGATGTGGTGTTTAAGTAGTTTATTCTTTTAATTGAGTAGTAATCTTTTAATAGTTAACGAGTTTTATCTTAGGCTAATTCTCAAAAGTATTTGTATTATTATGACGAGCAGTATTACAACAAATTGCTAATAATTTATAATTATAAAACAGTGTGTTTATTTACGAATAAATAATAAAGTAAATAAAAAGAAATAAAAGAAAATAAGAAAATAGAATAAGAAAAAGAAAAGAAACAAATTACTGAAATAAAAATATAACGCAGTAGGCCAGTTGCCTTTAAACTACTAAAACTAACTTGTCAAGTTCCTATCTGTCTGTCTTTTTACATGAACTATAAAGCTATCTATTTATATAAAATAAATTACATAAAGAGATATAACTAGCATGTCTACTATATCAACTATATCTAATATATCAGTTATGCCACATATGTCTGACATATCATATATATCACTTATATTAAATTAGTTGATCTTCTGCGCTATATAAGATGTGTCATATTTACCCGTTTACAATAGTTAATTCAAAAAATTTTCTAAAACAAGGTCTCAATTGTAAATATCTATATTATATTTTTTAATATATTAATAATAAAAGTAAACTTAAGTTGTTAATCATAGATAAACAAAAGAATAAGTTAACTTCAAGTGTTATTAGTATATGTTTTTTCAAAAAAAACAAGCAATTAATTTAAAATTAAAAACATATAACTTTATAAAACACATAATTTTATAAGATAATGCCTATCATGCTATTTAATTAATTCTTTTATTGTATCAATGCATTCTTTAATAGGTAATGCTTTTAATATTTTTAAATTTCTTACAGAAATTTTGACAAAGAATACTTTGAATTGAAATGAAATTTCTATAATTAAATTAATCTTCAAACATCATTTTGAAGATTTTTTTGAATTTTTTTATTAAAAAAAAAATTTAAAATTTAAAATTACTTAGTTTAAAAATGTTAAGATATGACTTCTACTTATAAAGAAGTTCACTGATTTCTTGAATGAGTTATTTTATCTTGTGTTTGTAATAGTTTGAAGTTCAACAAGAATGAACTCTTATCATAAGTGCTAATTCAATCTAGTATTTTGAGTACGCTTGACAGCAACATTTCTTTTACACTACAAGTTGATCAAATTTTCTTATATGTTTACCAACCTTTATTCATATTAGGCTTTATGTAAGTAAATTCTTGTTCAGTATATTTTAATTGTATAATGAGATATTCTTTAACAGTAATATCAGCTATTTGATACAACATATGTGTGAGTGCAATAGCATTTTATTGTTAAGATGAATAATCAGTGAAAATTTAGTCGAATCTGAAGAAATTAGTTGATAGGAAAAATCAGTTGATCAGAAAAACTAACATAATAGCTAAAATTTGAGATACGATAAGTAGTGGTAATTGTTGGTAGTTGTGTTTTCTTGCCATGCAGAAACTTCAATTGTTTAAATTACTTTCTCTTCTCCCACTTTTAGGAAATTATAAAAAATTCACAATATAACAAAAAGAGTGTCATATGGTACTTTATAAGAATTCTCTACTTTATATTTAACTTTTAACTATGAAAATATTCTTTATCTTTATTTTACTTATAAAAATTAATTAAGTTTTTATTATAACATTAAAATTAAAAAGATTATTGTGTAATAAAAAAAATATATGAAATTGACCAATCAAAATCAAAGAATTAGTATAAAATTTTAAAGTTAAATAATATATTATTTTTAAAATAATTATTGAGTGGCAATAGCTCAGTAATTTAGAATGCGAGGTTCTTTATTGATAGGGTTTCGGGTTCGATTCCATATGTGTTTATTGTTACTCAATATAAAGTATGAGGTTTATAGGGAGATGATTTCCCATATTAGCATAGCGATAGGGCATATTAGATCTTAATCTTTACTTATTCTTTTTTAATATATATCTAAACTAATATTAATTTTTATTATTATAAAAAAAAGTATCCCAAATATTATATACAATATATGAAAAAAAATTGAAATGAATTATTTTTGACTACTGAAATAATCAGCCAAACTTTTGTAAATTGGTGACTATGATTGTACATAGAATTTAACTTGCTCATATGCTCTGTTAAGAGGATATTTCTGGTAAATTTACTTAGTAGGCGGCTTGCTTCCTCAACAAATTGCGGTGAAGTTATAAGATATTTTGTATTTCTCAGCTTCTTGTTAGTAAAGGCTTGTCTTCATCTTTTACTAAGAAAAATTTTAGTAGCATAGCATTTTATAACATATATATATACAGTATATATATATATAATAAGAAATAATTGATTCCTGTGTTAGATTTTTCATTTCTCTCTTACATTCCAGAGATTTCTACAGCTAATTTGTTTCTATTATTATTGCCAACTACGAGATATATCGGCTTTTCTAAATAAACCATTATCCATTTCTACATTATCGCGGTACCTATATACTGCGCCAGACTTTTTCTATAGTCAGTTTCGACAAAGCCAACAATTG